CTACGAAATCACATTTTAATGTCTGCACTTTTATACTTGGAATATGAGAAGAATAATAATCATAATAAAGTAACTCGCTGTTTGATATTCGCTGTTTCTTTTGTTTCTAGTACTAGTACTATATCGCTTCACGTTGATACTGATGCTAATGCTAATGCTAATGCTAAAGCAACCTCAATATCCACGTCCCATATCCCATTCCACCCCATCTCATCTTATCTCATCTCATCTCATCTCATCTCATCTCATCCAAAGTCTATCCCACGCTCTAACCCACACTCTAACCCTCATCAACCTCTGTCTGAACCTCTTGCGCTGAAAAGAATCTATCAATCTTTGGACGCGATTGACCCCCCACCGCCGAAAGACACGGACTCACACCATTAACATCAGTCTTCCCATCCGTCTCCGTTTCCTTCTCCATCTCCGGTTCTAGTCCCCTATCAACGTCTTTCCCCTTCCCCTTCATGATCCTATCAACTCCACCTAACAATCCCAAACCCCCTTGACCTTCATTCTCACTCAAACCCTCTCCCCCACTTTCTACACCCGAACTACTATCCATTCCTGTTTCAGGTTCCACACCCAAGAAATCATTCCCCTTTCCCTCTTCCTTTCCCTCTTCCCTTTTGACTTGTACATAGCCCTCTTTATCATCAAAATGCCAGTCATGTCCCTCAGAAAGCCCACTCCTCACACTAATCAGCGACTCTGTACTAGCATTGGCGTGCCTCCCTGAAACACCGTTCCTCGCATTTCTCTGCCGAACACCATCTTTCATAACCCCATCTACCCCCTCCCCTCCCATAGCCATCGCAAACGGGAACGCTATACCATGTGCCGTAGGCCTCCTCATTTCTTCTCCTTCGCTATTATATCTCTCAACTCCCTCTTCGTTATTCCTCTCAATCGTCGGGCTCCTTATTAATATTTCGGGGATATTTAGTCCTCCTCCATCGTCGAATTCCGGGGCAGGAGTTCCTGACAGTTGACCATGCATAACCGTAGTATTTCTCTCCGCCATGAAATTATCCGAGTTTCTCGCAGCCTGTTGCATGGCAGAATATCGTGCCATCGGAGTATTCTCATCAAATAGTTCATCCGCCCCTGACTCCTCAGTTTGATTTTCATCCAGTACCTTTCTCCTCCGACTTCTTTCCCGACTACTACCTCGCAACTCCCCGTCCATCATTATTGGGTGTCGGCGTCCTGCCTCCGTAATTGTATCATTTACATCTCTTGCCCCAGCCCCATCCTCCGCACTCGTGACCGTTGTATCGGGTTTTTGATCATATTTATCCGCTTCTGCCTCTCGATCCATGGTAAGTTTATCATGTTTACTACCCCATCCACTCCACATCGACATTCCCCAACTCCTTTTCTTGCCTTCTTCTCTTTTAACCGCAACCCCCTGCACCCTACGTCCTGCTAATGCACTTGGCGGTGGTACGTCGTGTGGTCCAAATGTTTCATATCCTTTTGAAATTTCCTTCGCTCTATTTTTCTGTACTTTTCGCTTTTCACTGGCATACTTCGTGTCCCAGGTTTTCTTCACCGCCATCCATTTCTGGACTGGTCCAGGTTTGATGACGCCGATTTCAGCAGGTGACATCTTGCAAGCTGGCAACTCGGAGGCTGGGGCGAGGGGAAATATATTCCCATGGCGATCGATACGTTGACGTATCATGTGGTTCTTGAAAGGAGGAAGAGGATCGCCTGCTTTACCTACTTGTTCTGTAGATTCAGAGGGAGTTGCCTAGTTTTATCAGTTTAGCTGTCTTACGGATGGAGATGCCCAGGGAAGATTTACCTCTTTAGCATCCTCACTTGAATCCGAAGATTTCGAAATAATCGAAACGTCATCATCATCCAAGATTTCAATTTCCGTCTTCTGAGCTCTAGCTAAAGCCCAAGCTCCAAACTGTGCTATCGATCGATACATATATTTAGCTGGACGAGTGAAACTCAATGTTGGCGCAACATGACATAAATCATCCCAAACTTGTAATTGTACATCTGTTGGTTTATATTTAGAAATTTGGGACCGAGCATTATTGTGAGGGTTTGCATCGAGGAATGCATCTCTGGATGGGTATTGAGCTGGATTGGCAGCTTTATGTGCGATATAGATCTGTTCATCTCGTAACATTTCACCACCACCTGTGAGAATGAGTAATGGTGGGAGACCACCAAGAGAAGGTTGAAGGGCTGGAGAGACTAGGGGGTGAGCTATGAGTTGATTGGTCGTATACATTTGAATTTGATCCTTTATCACAACTAGTTCTCCATCGATCATGACCGAAAGATCTGGAGTAGAGCCTGGAATTGATTGTACTCTCGTACCCTTTGGGTGTGAAGCTCCAGCAGCTGTGTTATCTTGTGTTCCCGAGGGAGGGTGGCTGTCGACACGGAATCCTTGAACCGCATCTGTTTCCGATTGTCGGGATGAGGTTTTGCGTTCCTTCTTTACCAGGTTATTAACAAGTCCTTCCTCTATGGCTCGCATGTCATCTGCGTTTGGAGGTGGCCAAGCTCGAGATGGTCGTTGATGAAATCCTTGTGCTGGGATATAATCCAAAGGATTATCTTCGGCTACACTTGGAAAGGAATGGGTCAGATCAACCCATGGCGAGATGAGAATAGCTCCTGCAGGTAAAGGAATACCGCTATCCCGCATGATAGTCAGCATACTCAAAACCATCCCACCACCCGCTGAATCTCCGGCCAAAATGATAGTTGTTGGATCTTGAACCGAAAGAAGATACAAATATGCCGCTAAGCAATCAAAAAGGCCGCATGGAAATGGGAACTGAGGCGACAAACGATATCGAGGTGCAAAAACTCTGGCCTTCAACTTCCTGGCATGTCTTTGCATCTGATATCTATGTTCATCCGTACTTCCGAAAAAGTATGCCCCGCCATGAACATATAACATAACCCTCTTGCTCTCTCCACCACTCCTCATTCTCTCCTGATAATCCGCCCTCGTCTCGATCCATTCAGCCTTAAGTTCACTCCCTGGTCGTCTCCATTGCCACCATTCCCTTCCTCCTACTTTTTCAATTCCCCCATGCCGGCCCAAGTCAAGAGTTATCTCAGTTGCCGCATCCGTTATATATTCGGCGGGGATGGATATCTCGTCCACCTTCACGTAAGGAGGATGAGGCACCCATTGCGAGGTAAAGCGCTGAATATCTTCGACTGTGTGATGAGAAGCATAAATGAGGAATTTGCGAATTAAACTAAGACCTTCATCATAGGAAATATGTGCAGTAGGTTTTTCTTTGCGGGATCCACGTTTGATATACTGCGGAACGATTAGCTGCGAGGTTAGATAGATATAGAGGGGAAGAAACAGTACATGAGCGATGAGAGTTTGGACTACCACAGGGGCGACTGCTGTTCCGACTGAGACTGTATTAAGAACCATATTTGTGGAGTTTGCGAGGCTGTGATTTGGCGTTTTTGTTTCCGATATAGAGTCTCGAGTCGAACCAGTCGTATTCCCTTTGCAAATACCTGTAACCACAGATACTCGTAACAGAATCCTCGAACCCAAAGACAATTCAAATATCCAGCTCACTCTCAATCCCAACCCAACTGCAGAATCCTCAAATCCAAAGACAATTCGACTCTCCCGCTCACTCTAACTCCCAACCACAGAATATGTTCTCCGCGATCGATAGCGAGTCCTGACTATTAAAGTCCTGTACAAAACCGTAAAAAAATGTCAAACCACCCCGATAACCACAATAAACATTAACAAAGCTCTCTCTGCGAAGTAACAGTAAGCCCCTTTCCTTCCCTTCTCACTTCTCACTTCTCACTTCTCACTTTACTTCTCAATCAATGAATCAATCAATCAAACCAAGTAAAATAACAATTACGAGAAAAAAGAGAGACAATCAATCATTCAACAAAGGATATGATATGATCTGATCAAGAATAATATAACATAAACCACCAGACAGAATAAATATTACTCAGTAATACCATATCAAAATAAAACCCTACCTACCACAAAGCGAACCTACCTACCTACCTACCTTGATAACCTAGTCTCTTAGCCAAATAAATGACTAGCCAAATTACTCGTACAAACGCAGCCACTCTTTCAGTAATTTGGTTAATTTGGTTGCGCGTCCAAGTAAATACCGGTACACAAAGGATATTTCATTCACGTCATTGTTAGATGCAATCTTCAAGCTAAACAAATTATTAAGGAGTTTTAAGTGGATGATAATGGGAACCCCTGTGCATAAAAAATAAGGTTTAGTGTGAATATTTATGCTGGGGATAAATTTTATTTTTCGTTTGATCGGATTTGGTTTGCGATTGAAGATTGAGGGATTGAAGATTGGTACCCCGCTATCATATTATATTATATCATATCGTGTCGCACACCCTTCAAGTTTACCTTCTAAAAAGCATTGAGAAATAGAAATAGGAATTGTGTGAGAGGAATTGAAAAGTTCAAGAGAAAGAAGAGAGGAAAAGAGAAGAAAATCATGGCTTCTTCGCAATCGAATGGAGGGAATGGCGTATACTCCCCAGGTAAATCTTCTTTCCCTCATCCAATCCCTCCACTCCCCTCCCCTCCATACATACCCCCAGCTCAGCTCACTAATGTCTCCCCCCTCCCAGAACTCCGCCTCCACCACTTCCAACGCAGCATCACACTCTCCCTCTTCCTCTGGCCGTCACTCTCCCTCGCCGTAACCTCTTCATGGGGCGGACCCACCTCCACCTCCAAACGCGAATGGTTTGCCGGCACCCTAATCGACCTGCTATCATCCCCCGAAAACTACGACGTAGACGCTGAATGGATCGAAGAATTACTATTGCAAGTCATGGAGGATGAATTTGAAGTGGTGGTTGATGATGGGTCAGCGGCGGAAGTGGCAAGGGGGTTGATTAAATGTAGAGGGGAATGTGAGAGGGGGGTTTGGGGTGAGGAAAATAGTTTGTGTAAGAGGTTGGAGGGGAAGTGGGGGGAGACGGGGGGGAAGGAGTTGGGGTTGGGGGGGTTTAGGGAGGGCGAGGAGCAGGGGGATACGGATGGGGAGGATAGTGGGGATGGGGAGAGTGGGGATGAGGAGGATGGGGATGTAGAGATGGAGATGAATGAGGCGCCACAGTTGGTGAGGGCCAGGGAACCGATTGTGCCAGAGGTGGATGAGGATGGGTTTACGAAGGTTACTAAGAAGAGGAGATGAACAAACAACATGGCGAAAGAAAGATAGAAAAGAGTGACGAAGTGCGAGTATCTTGACAATGGGACACTAGGAGATACAAACGAGGATCTTAACCCTAACAATATACAGACAGACCAGGAGACATGTACATAAGACCAAGAACAAAACACCAAACCAAACCAACATGGAACTAGATGAAAATTTCTAATTTACCAAGGGCTGAGGAGGAAGTCACTTGCTTACGGGCATATACAAATCAGGATAGATAGAGACCGATAGATACTGTATACACAAAGATGATTACAATAGTTTACAGCAATGAAAAGTCGGTTTGTTTACTCGTACTACATAGTGCACTATGGGTCATTTATTTGTTAGCAGAGTTTAACATGAATTGATGAATGGATGATTGGATATTGGATATTGGATCGATCAAAGATTGAAGACGGAATTGAATGTCTATGTATGATGTTAATACCTAGGTAGGCGAATTGCTAATTTTCAGATGATATTGAAATGAAATGAATCATTCATTGCCTAAAGACTAAAGACTAAAGACTAAAGACTAAAAGATCTACAAAGGATATCATCATATCAATATCAATATCAATATCAATACAAAATCAAAAGAGCATCATGTATATAAACATGATCACCGCACCGCACAGCACAGTACCGCATAATAAATGCATGCACAATTTAAGAAAAGATAGGCCGCTCGAAGAACAGCAAACAGAACAGAATAGAACAGAATATAAAATCCAATCCCAAAACTCCCTAGGGAGAAAAATGAATAAAACCCCCCATCAGATCAGATAAACCACAACGCCAGCTTCACTTTATCATCAAGCAAGTATATTCAGTAATTTCCTCTTTCACACCCAGCTCTATTCCCAGTCTTCCTCCTCGCTATCGCCTTCATCTTCACTGTCCTCGTTCTTCTTTGGGCCAGTCCCCGTCCCCTTCCCCTTTTCCTTTGGACTATTAGGAGCCCGAGTAGGAGCACCCGATGCCGCACCCACAACATCGTAACTTCCATCACTATCAGCTTGAGATTTTTCATCGTTGGATTTTCTGGGTTCAGCTAGTCCTGGTGTGAGAGGCGTGGTTGCAGTGGCTTTTTCCTTTTCTTGAATTGCGGGATGTAATGTGGCAGAGGATTCAGCCGATGCTGGTCTGTTTATAGTTGTCTTTGCTTTAGTAGTTTTGTCATCTTCATCTTCAGATTCTGCCGAGTCGTCGGATTCTTCTTCTTCCGAATCTTCTTCGGAATCTGAGGCCCATTTGACTTCTTCTTCTTGTTCAGTTGCTACGGCGCCTATTTGTCCATGTCATTAGCAGATTTCTTATTACTGATCGGACATAATGAGCAAGCATACCTTTGAGCAAATCTCTCCTCTTGGCTTCGGCAGTTTCGATACTGTGTCTGAGGAAATAATATCGTTTGAAGAAATCCACATATTTGACTTGATCCGGTACCAGTTTTTCCATTGAACTTCTCAACTCTTCATATTTTTCCAGATTATGACTGATATCATCGGTCTTTTCTTCAACACTAAAATCCTTAGCCCATGGTTCGAATTCCTCGCTGATGGGATCTTTGGTAAAACTATCAAGTGTAGAATGGATAACGTGGAGCTGAGCATCGAATCGCGTAGTATGAATAACTCTTTTGCCTTGAGAATCCTTACTTTCAAATAGGACGGCGCTGGTTTGACCATCTGCATCGGAGGTGGGTGGTGCAATGCTAACAGCATCTTTCAGGAAATTTCGAATATTGGTTCCGAACTTTAGAAGGGCTTCATCTGCTGCATCCTCTGCCTTTTGAATCTCCACCAGTTTCTTAGCAGCTTCGGACTTTAACCTTGCCAAAACACCTTCTGATTCATTTAAAGCCTCATCTGTTGATATATCTTTCGCAGCCAATTCTCCCTCTTTACTCGTAGATCCCTCGGCCGCTTTCTCATCCTCTTGAGCTTGTGTAATCGTAAGTCCCCGCGTGCGACTAATGATGGAAGATCTCAGGTCCGTAAATCCTTTCGTAGCTTCTACACTAACAGTATTAAACTCCTGTTGAGCCTCTTTATACACATTCTCGCCCTGTAGGTCAAACAGTTTACTCAGTCAAACGCCTCATGTGCCTGCCAACCCCTCCGTCTCTTACCTGTTTAACCACACTTCCAAAGAATCCACCTAATTTCGCACCCCATGGACTGGAAGAGATAGCTTTGTATGCTTCTTGGAAATCAGCATTGAGAGTTGGAGCGGGTTGCGCGGTCTTCTCTTTATTTTGATCGGGTTGGAGAGCTTCTTCTTGGATATGATCATATGCGAGATCCATCTTTGCAAGAAAGATATGGATTTTGAGGAATTCAAAAGTTCACAGGGAGTTTATCAAAAGGTTTACGGGTAGAGTGGAGCTGATAGGGTCCGTTGTGATTGATCTGGATCTGCAAGCAAGCAGAGCGGAACCTCGCATGTAATTCAACAAGAATCCTCAGTACCGATATCCCGCTTTCAAGCCTCAGTGGCTTAAACAGCCCAGCTTCACTACTTACACTAGCCACATAATCATGTGATTAAATGAAGTTGAATTGGAAAATGGATGGATTAGTGATCGCTCCGGTGTTCGACCGAGTTTCGGACTAGAAGGTAGACCTCGGTAGCAGCCGACTCGAAAAATATGATAAGTACCGGTACCGGCACTATGCTCACATTGATTTCTTGCATAGGTAGGTAGGTATGAGCTTTTGGCATATGAGAATTTTGATCTCCACCGATAGCTACCGGTAGATGGATGGATGATGGATGTTCAGACTCCAGAGACCATGCATAGCCAGACCATGACTATGAGTACGACATGGAAGACCCCCCAAAAGGTACAATTAGATAAAGGTAGTACATATGCAACAGCCAGGATAGAAACTTCAACACGATTGATTTGTTCAATTTGTTTGACTCATACGGCGGTTATACATGTTCTCTGGCTGTCTGGTAATACTACTTACTGCATGGGGAATATATTGTGGTAGGTTGGATTGGCTAGTATAATAAGTACCAAGTATCTTTAAATGTAGTGCAAGAGGCCTTTCAACCTATGAGAGTTTACCAAAAGATATAAATCAACCGATAAATCCGTATTATTCCCTTTTAATAAAGCATGTAAAATATTACTAGTACATCTACGGATTTAGCGGAGTTTTTCAAAAATTGAGTTGCTGAGAAATCAAAAAAGTAAAAATTCACTCCCCCTCCCTGCCCCTCTTGGAATCAAGAAGAATCATTCGATGGGGTTGGAGGGAATCAAACCTCACCACTTCTTCCTTACATACACATTTTTGCCCATACAATAACATCAATCGAGGCCACGAATTCGAGGCTTTAATACAGTACACCAAAAGATCGCATCCTCCACAACCCAAACCTCTCTCCTTCTCCAAAGAAAAGCCGGCCCCTCTCTTTATCCGTCACGGTGGGATCGATTGTCCTGCATAAGCTTACGGTACAAGAGTCAATTGAACTTTTATTCCGACACCACCATACGAGTTAAACCAAGTCTCACTCACATACAACAAACACGTCGATATTCTTCAATCAAAAACTGAATTGATTTTCGCTGCTTTCTTTTGCGACTTGCGATTCGATTATAACTCTTATCGCCATCGGGAATATCTAGGGAATGTGAGATTACTATTCTTGAAAGAATAATAGTTTCTTCCACGAAGAAAATCTACATACACGAAGTACACAGTTCGACTTTGTTTACGTCAGAATCACGAATCAGACAGACACAATAAGGTTTAAATGGCTGCCACCAGTACCAACCGCCATAATCCAATAAATCCTCAATTTACCTTATCTCCACGACAAGAAGAATTGCTTTTCGCAGCTCTCAATTCAAACAAATCATCATCAAACAATATGGATATATCACTTCCACCAACAAGCGATGGTCTCCCAGACATCTCTACTTCCGCATTCAACGAATCTCCGATTCAAGCTCCGGGTTCGGGTACATTGAGTGGATTCGAAGAGAGTCCTTTCATCGACTACGATTATGAGTTCGAAGGTGATGAGAGTTACAATTTCAACTTCAGTAATGACTCACAAGGACAAATGATTGGAAATTTACCTGGAACCTCGTCGGATGGTGATGGTGATGGTGATAATCATGAGAAGCGAAGTCATCCTGATGATGATGGCGATGAAGATGAGGGTGGCGGTAAACGAAGAGAAGGTGACGATAAATCATCAAAGAAGCCTGGCAGAAAACCCCTCACATCAGAGCCTACTTCTGTGAGTACTTCATGGAGTTATCGTTATTCCTGAATAGCTTCTAATTTCCTAATCAGAAACGCAAAGCTCAAAATCGTGCCGCCCAACGTGCATTTCGTGAACGAAAAGAGAGGCATTTGAAGGATCTGGAGACAAAGGTTGAGGATTTGGAGAAAGCTTCCGAATCTGCCAATCATGAGAATAGTATCCTCCGATCGCAAATCGAACGAATGGCCATGGAATTGAGGGAATACAAGAAGAGATTATCACTACCTGGTGGTATCAACCGAAGCCCAAATGGCAATGTGCCAGCCTACTTCGCAGGAAAGGGACTTCCAACTGTATCTGCCAATCCAAATGATGTCAACTTCCAATTCGAGTTTCCAAGATTTGGTCGTCTTCCCGGTCCTCCTGTCACCAACGGAAGTTCAACCATGGGACCATCCATCTCCCCAAATACTACTACTCAGAAAGTTCAGAGTTCAACCGATACAAGTCAAACTAGCTCACGCAACCAGTCCAATGCTAGCAATACCTTTGGTATTGGCTTGACTCAAACTCCAGCTCAAATTGGTGGTGTTGATATGTCCTCCTTCTCTGGTCTATTTACCCCGGAGATCCTGGAAAGTGCATCGAAGATGGCACCGTTCGAACATTTCGGAACTGGTACCACTGGATCCATGACAAGTACTGACTCTCCCAATATGTCTACCGGTGGTCACAATACCTCGTATAGCTCACCATCGGCGTCCTCACACTCCAACAATGGAGCTAGCTCATCTTGTGGCACATCTCCAGAACCTACCAACATGCAATCGCCATACAACAAAGCGGTTGACAGTACATTGACAACAATTGGAGAAGAGAACACTTGTAGCAACAACAATCCAGCACCAGGTGAGCTGTCCTTTTGCGAAAAGCTCAATATGGCTTGCGGCAATCCCAACAATCCTATCCCCGTTACAATGTCTGAGCCTGGTATCAATTCAGGAAATGAAGTAACCGCCACCTTCGATGTCAACGGAATTGATTGGTTCGCTCAACAAAACAACAATCAATTTGATCCTCAACTCTATGGTGATTATCGCGAACCTCAGAATAACGTCCTTCTAAACGATCCTTTTGCTCTCGATGATGGTTTCTTTGCCGATGCATTCGATATGCCAGATTTCAATAGTCCATTCAATGTTCCAAGTCCAACAGCTACCAAGAAGGATCTTGTAACACAGATTGATGAAAAGCAGAATGAAGATGAAGAGGTTGTTCCGGGAGAAGATAGATCAACAATGCTTAGCTGCAACACTATTTGGTATGACTCTCCTGACTTAAAACAAGAAAGTGAAATCTTTGCTGACACTAATGGTTCAGGGATCGTCTACAAAATTGTCCCAAGGTCAAAGAAGGGGAATTCGATCTCGATCTTCTTTGCAAGGATCTTCAAAAGAAAGCTAAATGTTCGGAGACAGGCGCCGTTGTTAATGAATCTGATTTTCAGAGCATTATGAAGAATTACACTCCGAATGGCTGTGACCCATTAACAGTAACAGCGAAGAAGGTATGAATGATCGATCGGATATACATTTGGGATAAAACCTGTACTGGAACGGAATGGCGTTGCAAACACATTAAAATGACCATAAGGTCGGATCATGGATAAGGATAACATTTTGCTGGGACAAAGCAATCTTTTGGCGCCTAATGGTCATGATATATCTCATCGACCTGGATTGATTTGATTTTCCTTTTTTGCTTTGGGGGATTCGGACTTCGGATTTGGCTTTTTGCTTTTACCTTATTTTCGGATTATTTGATTGATTGTTGGTTTGGTGTGCTTTGCAGTGCCAGATGGATGAATGGTATGGAAAGGATGGTTTTGCGGTTAATCCAAGCTTGGCTTGTTTTTTTCAATATGGCAAGTTGGACGGACGATGGAGCGAATGAACGGCCAATCCCTTCTCACTTTATTTAGTGTTGCGGAGATGAAGATAAATGAATATGAATATGCATTGAGTGGAATGGAATGGTAGTAGGGAATTCAATTGATTGGGATTGATTGATGATGAATGAATGAATGGTGTGGTATCGCATGGTATGGTATGGTAAGGGATGGTATGGTCTGGTATAAGAAATCGATTAGCTTTAAATAGCCATTACTGAATTACAAATTACAAATTACAAATTAAACCAATAAGGTATTCATCTTAGTTGATGTGATGTTCTTGGTGGTATGTGGTATGTGGTATGTGGTATGGGGCATGATATTTCGTGTTTGAGATTTAGTTGTGTAGGTACGAGTACGAGTACCTTGTGTTAAGTGGTATGTATATATATATTATGTTACGAGTAGCGAGTGGTGGGTGGGTGGTTGTGTGAGTATGTGAATGGTGTTGAAGGGGTGTGATGTGGTGTGATGTGATGTGGTAATAATTTGATGTTTGTGAGGTATGGGAGGAAGGTATAGGAGGTAGGGGGGGATGGGGGGAAATGGGGGAGAGAGAGGATATGAGAGGAGAGGGTGGGTGGGGGAGAGGGAAGGAGAGGAAGGGGAGGAAGGGGAGGAGATGAGAGGAGAGGAGAGGGTGGGAGAGGAAGGGAAGGATGAGAGAGAGAAAGGGGAGGAAAGGGAGGCAGGGGAGGGAAGGAAGGGGAAGGGAGAAGGGGAAGGGAAGGAGGAGAGAGAGGGAAGGAGGGGGATGAAGGTAAGGAGATAAAAAAGGCACGTGTTGGTGTATTCTGGGCAATCTTGGGAACCTTGCTTGGTGCGTCAGGGTGATACGGCTTAAACCTTGGAGGTTTGGAGGAGCGGGTGTTGTGTGATGTGATGGTTGTTGATGGTTGTTGATGGTTGTTGAGGTGTTTTGAGGTATTGGAGGCGATGTTTTATTGTTTTATAAGGGGATAGATTGGGCTTGTTTGTGGTGTGATATGGTGTGGCTGTAACAGATTCTTGGAGAAGGAGGTGTTGAGAAGGGGTTGTTGAGGTGGAATGGAGGTGGAATGGAAGTGTCGAGTAAGGTTGAGTTGAGTTGAGTTGAGTTGAGTGGTGTGGTGAGGAAATGAAATGATGATGATGATGGGTAGAATATCGTTATCTGGCGGAGGCTCTGGAAGACTGGAAGACAGGATGGCTTGGAGGGAGATGTGTGGGTTGGGTTGGGTTGGGTTTTGATGTGATGTGATGTGGTATGTTATGGTGTAAGTGCACTCACTGTATAGGTAGGTAATAAGGGCCTCGGGTTGAAAATATGTGTTTGGGGTAGTGATACAGATAGTGTGTACGAGTATGTTAGGGGGTTTGTATGTATATGTATGTATATATACATAGGCTAGGAGAAGACGAGGGAGAGGAGAGAAGAGAAAAGAAAAGGAGACGAGGAGAAGAGAAGAGGAAAGATATATAGGCTTCTTTTCCCCGGCTCACCTCCTTGGTATTTGCTTTGGGAGTCGGAGATGATGATGATGATGATGATGATGGATATACTCAGTAGGTGATGGTTGGACTTTTTGATATTATTATATTGTTATATAATTATAAATGTTATTTGCGATGCAGATGGGCTGGTTTAGTTGTTTGGCTGGGAATAGATGGATGGACGAATGGATGGACGAATGGATGGGTTGTGTCTTATTACATTTTATTTGTTCTATGTTTACTTTTGGGGGGTTTTCTATTCGTTTGTATTTTGTTCTAGTTTACTCTATTCTACACCTCTCTTCTCAAAATAGGAGAAATGTTATGAAGTCATATGATACTTTACACTCAACCCACCCATTCCATTCACCTCATCTCCTCGCCGCCTTCCACACGATATCCACGATTTTCACTCGGAGTAAGAATCTGTAAGGGGAGTGTAATGGGTTAGATCAACTTTGAAGCTTAAAGTAGACAAATTAGAATTTGATGATGGGGTATAAATCGATTCAAGTTGAATTGATCGATATGGAGGAAGGAAGGAAGGAAGAACATACTCGAATGGTTAGTAAGCAAAGGGTAAGTAGTCACGCTCCATCTGCCCTTCTACAACATCAAATATCCTTTCTTTAAACTCAAGCCCCTTTCCAATATAGGAGCAGTTCAGTTGAGCTTTACACAGTATCTATCTCCTCTCAAATATGACACAATTCCTCAGTCTTGCTCTCCTTTCCACTGCTACCAAGCCTCTCACTGGTCTAAATCAAAATTGCAGCTTGAGGTTGTGAGTTGATGGATTAATGGCATGAAGTTTTATGGGATTTTAAGGAGTTTTGGGTATCAGGTTCTGGTTGCGCTGAAAATGTACTGTACTTGTGTGTACTGTATGTATGAGTGTAAATGTGTCAGGTAAGGTATGGTAAATGTAGGTTAGCCTAGTAGGGTAGGATATGACTTTATATCTCCTTTCGAGTTCTCGGTTTGCATATTGAGGGGGCGGGGGAGGGGGGGCGGTACTGGATATGCTTTGATTATATACGGTTTTTAGATAGATGTCTTGGTCTCTTGGAATTTAATACGAAGATAGAGGTCAAAGGTTGAAGTTTGAAGTTATAGGGTATGAGGGTGCGAGGGTGCGAGGGTGTGAGGGGAGAGGTGTTGAGCGAACGAGACACCCAACATATAATACACAATCGATATTTGAATCTAAGCTCTGGGTTACAAAGTCATAGACCATCTCGGCAAGCCTACCACACAGCTTGCATCAATTAAATTATCTTAGATCTTATATAGATTTATATAATTTGATAATAGATTACAATATCACTTTATCTATAGTTTCAATGAAGACGGCTTATTCTCTGATACTAAAGTTTGGAAGGTTTGTAATTGTGAGTACTGGAGTGAGATGAAAGCGTGAATTTGCATTGTAAACTAGTCATATCATTATTAAATGCTCTGGAGACTGGCAGTAGACACAAGGCAAAGGGATTGGTAGGCTTTTTTATGATTGGTAGCTCTACGGAAAGAAGGAATCCCACTCATCAAGAGCAATGTTATGCGTATGCAGGTCTTGAGAGGTCGGGAAACGGCAAATAGACCTAGGACTAGAGAAAGAAAGCACATCATTGGGTTTCCAGTATTTTGTTTACATATTTACGATAAGCTCATTACTACCCAAAGAGGATTACTATCATCATGACCAACAGTGTTTGGTACCTGAAATGCATAAATAACTAGCGAAGGGCAACTCGGCAGTTCCTGAACCCTTATTGCTTAGACGGAATAAGAGACGACTGCTTTTACTGACCAAGTTGCCAACTTCATGACACTCCTAATCGGAATGAATATTCTTGGCAGTGTGGCAATGGTGGCCACGAAGGGTTATCCAGGTGATATAGCGCCCTTTTGACTAGCAAGCTGGTTGAATACTAGGGTAAGGGGCATGGTTATCAAAAATTACCAGTATACCCCTCAGTCTGTGGCCCCGGGATATAATAACGAGCATGTACCATGAGAGTTACAAATCTGTGATGTAATAGATATCGGTGGAGTGGGAACGTGCTGGGATAGCTTTGAGGGATTTAAAGACATGGCCTTGTCTATAGATTGTCACACCTCTCTTCCTTCAAACAAGACGACTGTTTAATGCAAATGATCGAGGACCTCAGCTTTCTTCTGCTTCAACCCTTTGAACAAATCCAAATCTAGTGGAAGTTGCTCTCCAGATGGGTTCATGGACCCCATGAGATACACATATATCGTGCTGAGGCGATCGATAGATAACGGGTATTCACAATGCTGTGCAGTGACAAGAGAAACTTAGTTAATGCTCAAAGCAAGCCGCACACGCTTTCATAAATATATCAAACAAGTTATTGGCTAGTATTCCAAGTACATTATTAGGCAATTATTATTCAAACTGTACTTGTGTTGAATGATTTGAACTTGAAATTTTCCTTGGCTGCTTTGAAATGAAATACCGGTACGATATTGGCTAATACTTACTCCCCGCCTTGGAAAATCAACTGTTGAAGTTGTCCCGTGAACCGAATCTAACTAAATTACTACGGTAAAGTATAAATTCAAAAGTCCGTTGGATTAGTGATTGATGATCAATAGAGCCCGGCTCTCTCTGGTTTTCCTTCTTCATCCTTTCCTCGACATATTTTCAAACAACAATTTTACTTTACTGGATGCTTTCTTCATTTATTTAGACACTCTTCTTTCGACAATTCGGTTTTGACACTACTTCTTCAATATCATCACCTTTTCGACATCAATTTTTCATTAATCTAAAATACGGCTCATACAAATCTGGAAACCTTGAACCTTTTTGAGATCCCCTTTCTGGGCAGTTGGGAGTAGTGACAGAAGCCCACAAGGACACCTCGCCCCTTCAAGATCCTCCTGTCCCAAGGGAGAAATTGGGAGAAACGGGAGCAGTCTTTTAAAGCCCACAACACCATTAATATGCCATTGAGTTCAGAACAAGGTAAGTCCACCGCCATACTAATCTGCTCCCCTCCGTCCACCACCACCTCCTTCTCAGGAGATCACTCCTTGTGTTAAGCATTCGTGTTTAAACCTTTGAGTGATCGGGGGAAGCTAAAGAAAGCCCGACCTGGGAAACCAGATCATCTGAGGGAGCATTGCAAGTGCAATATCTACCCTCAGGTAAATCCGGAGAAGCGAAAGAAAGCCGGACCTGGGAAACCAGATCATCTGAGGTAGAATTGTAAGTGCAAGACCTACCCACAGATAACTCCGGAGAAGAGAAAGAAAGCCGGACAGACCACAGATAATCATTTTGTTTTGGCACGGGTTAGTTTTTGGCAGGCAGAGATAAATTCATCTTGCCCATATCGTTGACTTGTTATCTTCTATACACAATATAGTTATAGAAAAATGAAAAGAGACCAATGGGGGATATGTATTCTTTTTGTTTTGAGATCTCCATCATAAGGTCATCGCTACATTGATTTATGGAACGTTTTCTATTTAAATCACTTCTTGAGCAATGGCTATTTGTATGCGTGAAATGAGCGTGACAACATATGAGGGAACGTGAATCCAAATTAGAAGTCAGCATAGAAGCTTCACCATCAATTTCGTGTTGAATTCCTTCACCAGGAGATATTTATATTATATGCCATGCTTGCTCCTGCACGTAAAAGCTCAATACGTAATTTGATGCAACTATAATTTTCCTATCACAAGTTCATGTTCTTCAAGTTCATTGCCAATATCAACGGACTAAATCCTTTTATAGGATACAGAAGTGATTTTGCTAAAGCCGTAGGTTCTTGAAGTTGAGTGTGCCAGGATGAATTGAAATTAGATTGCGTTACATGACATTTACATTCAACAGCCCCGGGACACTTGATTGTTTCCAATAAAACTTGCTGTATGCTCGCATTCAGGATTAAGCACTGTGCTAAGATTCCTATTCCGTTTTCAGATCTAAGACTGTATTATAATATAATATCAATTGATGCAGAGGTCTGATTCTTATAAAGAAGTACTGGTGGATGAAAGAGATCACGAGGTCACGGAGTACGGATTGAGATTTTCAATGTGTGATTGGGGGTCTATTACTTGAATACTATCTTAAACTGCTTTTTAATTCATCATAATCTTCATCGCCATACTAATGGCGATTTAATCTCCCACATGTCTTATGTTTCTCTAACCCAAAGTATCGTGACAACACGTGATATTACATTCCCTCGCCCCTTCCACATACATCTTGCATAACATCATTCTAATAAGCTCACCACCACAAATTCAAGGCCTCATGCTGTAACCATTCTTGTTTAGTCAAAATCACCAGGATTATGGAACGTAAAGCTTTGTCTAGAGTCAGAGTCGGAGTCGGAGTCGGAATCTAAGACTCAGAGTCCAGTTTGTTCTAGGTAGCTCTCCCTTCTGTTTCTCAGTTATTCCGCCAGTTACCGATCAAGATTTTATGCTACGTCAATATTCCAAACCTAATTACCACGCAGTTGTAAACTTTACGGCAATTCTTTTTACGGTTCCAAAAATGAGTCGACGTTCGAATTAGCATACTTTCCGCGCTATACGTCGACCACAGAGATCTACATTACCTTCAATCGTACAACAACAAAAGTTTATAAATCAATACTGTGTTGAGATAGGATGAACTTGCTTCCGAATTAAAAAAATCTAGATTTGAGGTTTCGCTTGCATCGTTTCTCGGCTCGGATAGGGGGGCTACCGGGATCCGAGAGTCTAATATACCACGTGATCTTATCGTTTGTAGGAAATAGGATGTGCCATAAAAGTTTGATGTTGTTGGCTCTTGAGATATTTGAGCCGATCCTGGGTAGGTACTTCCGAGTTGGGAATGGAGAGATTGGTATTTTTGCGCTGAAAATTTAAGAATACAAGGCTGGAGATGCGTTGCTGTTTGCTGTTCGGAGCTTTTAGACGACACGCATTTTACAATTTCTCATTAATGGATTTTTCTCAAGACTGACTTTTTTTTGGGGTCCAAACAGAGAATTTACGAGACACATACATAGCTTTTAATCTTCGAAACCTTCATGCCTAACTCAAAATACTGATGGGTTTATAATCGATACCGTGACATATATATATCATTTTGCTCTCTAGCAAATGGTAGATGTACATTAAAGTCCCATCTCTCGCATTATTAGACTAACTTACTACTGATAGCATTGCGTCAGTAGTAGAGTGAGAAGATGCCTTGGCGTGCTGGTCTCAATGGCCAAGAAACGAATAGTCGAGGATTGGAAAAACTTCATAAGAACACTGACCACATCCATCATAGCATACATCATATCCTGTACTACTTCAAAACTCTCCATCGAAAATCAAAAACTTGGCATCCGATACGTTACTTTTGTACCATGCGGTGAATCGAAGTCACGTGAAAAATGCTCAGGGGTTCCCATGGACCCGGGATCGAGACCACAGGGGACATGCATCACAAAAGGCCAAACATTATATCCCTTCTCACTGCACTACTCTTGATTAGATGTTGCAAATTCCATCTTCTATTAGACAAAATTTTGAATCTTAAGGGTTAGATTCTATTCAGAAATGTCTATGCAAAAAGTTTCAGGGGCACTAAAGTCAATAGCCGAGATTCGAATGTTTTCATGGACACGGGATATTCCCATCATGGCGACGCCGTACCAACCCATTTTGCCACTTCTCTGCACGCCTTGTCCATTTCTTCTACACCACATACTTTCTTTTTATGATAGATTACGGTATAGTGTTCATAAAAAGGGAAATCATGAGCGGAGTCCAGCTCCTGTATTACTTCTTTGTTGCACCTCCCGCAGATATGAACCAGGTAATTAACTCCAACTTGTCTGCTAATAAATTATCCCATTCATAACATTGCATTTCGTTGTTACATCTCCAACATATAGGAACTACATATAATCCTCTTCGCCTCTCCCTTTATCTATTTTCCATCCCACCCATTCACTTGGCTTTTGAGACGACCATTGAGCAAGTGACTTCACAACAATGTCAGTAGGTGAAAAATTGAAAACGCATACCTGTGATCAATACTGTTACTGTTTGTGACCCACCTAGGGCTCGGAAGTGTCGAGAGGCGGTCTATACTGATAGCATGATGGCCCTCGTAATCACCAATCAAAGTAATGCAAAAAGACCTAGAACTTCAGAATAACCAACTATAAGGTTAGAATACTAGACTAGGAGCGACCGTGATGTGATAAATCTTCTGACTTTATCCAATACCCATATATACGCTGATTCCGCCGTCTCTAACTTAAAGTCGAGTGATTAGTTTCATCTGGAGGTTTTTAGTGCTCTTTTTCTTATGGTTTAGTAGTTCTTTTCTTTTAGGAGAAATCTCTCAGCATCATTTTAATACAATTTCATAAACATTATCTCCTCCTGTTCTTTGATCCGAGATCCGGTGGCAAGCATAGGAAAGAACGGCAAACGCTGGGTTGCTGCTGGATCTCGCTATTCCCGGTTGTCGGATACATTAGGTAGTGGAGCTCCATTCCTACTACCAGGACAGATAAACAGGAGTAGCGATCTTCTCCTTGTGGTTGGAGCTTTCCCACAATCGTTGGGAGGGCAACAAAGAAGCAAAATCGGGTACTCTTGGTGCCAACCGCCATTAAATACCTCGATCTAGCTCTTTCGGCAGTTATTATGACATCATTACGTGCATGATATTCGGCTAACGCTTTTCCTACGAGCCTTGCTGCAAGGAAGCTACGTTCTATTAGTCGGACATAGTAAGTTGATGGTTGCCTAGTAGGGATAAAGTAGCTTCAACTGGAAAGTCTCCGAAAAAAGGATTCCTCAAATGCTTGAAGTGATTCGCTCCATGTTAGTTCAAGTTGGAGAAGTTTTTTGTGGTTGGAATCAATCTATAGCTTAGAAGAATTATATGGAGTCCTGAGTGATTTTGAGTTCTCTGGGTATAACTAGACTAACGCTTCAAGAGCTCGAGAGGAAGTTTATTATTAGTAGCAACTTCGATCGTGGTGCCGCTCTTTCCTTTAACTCTAATGGTGTTATTAGCTTCTATCTGATGTGCGAATCAACCTAGTATGAACTCTTCATGATCTGTAGCATTAGCTATGTAGATCAACCTTGATTAACTCTGTAACTCTTATTGAAATGAGTATGATAAATACTTCTCAACTCCCCCAATTGTTATTCTTCTTCCTTCGCCGATATCAAGATTCTTTTCACATTTTTTGGAAATTTGAAAACTTGTCATCTTTAATAGATCTACTATTAATGTCAATACATCTTCAAATCATCTTATTTAATTTAAAATGCGTTCCTCCCGACATACTCTCGATCGTTCCTCGATCATCGACGATAATATCGACCCAGCCCCAGCCTCCTCCTCCGTCCCAACGTCTTGTCACGGTCGACCACCCCTTACGGAAGACACAACAACTCTGGGAAGTATTGCAAGACTTTCCCAGCTCTCAGCCGATCAAGATACACCGGAGATACGTTGTTTAAAGACGGGCAAAATGATCAACCGGAGAGCCTTCGATCATCCAGTTGTTATTTTAGCGATATCAAAACACGGCGACAATAAACCCAGTGCTCTTTGCTGCCAGATATCCAGCAATCGGAATCCATTGGCAGAGGAGGCGGCAAGTTTCCTCCCCATTTCAACGGTCACACTGGGAGGAGACTATCATCGTGTCCCAGAGATGAGGAAGGATATGATATTGGAAGACAAACCAATGGCAAAACACTGTTATATATTAACCGGACATGCTAAGTTCTTGAAAAACTTTGCGTACTGCAATCTTTTTATCTTCAATCAAATTGGAAATGTCGTGGATCGAACCTCCCTTCAATATCTAACATTATCTATAGTCTTTGACTTCCCTCTCTCCCTCCTCTCAAGATGGGATTATTCAGAAGATATGTTCTCAACTCGTCTTTGCTTTTCATCCTTCAATGTCTTATTGAAGTCTCTTGGACTTCATAAGTGGGAGCATAGACAAGAGTTCATTCCCACACCAGAGATCATCGCTGGTGAAAAGGACGAGATTTTGCCAGTAGATTTTGCCACAAGTCTGCCCATTAAATTCTTTCCACTTCAACGGGTACGCAACTAGGCGTGAAGGATCTCGACACCATCATAATCATCATCGTCATCATAACTTTTCTCAACATCACCATCCTCACCCAACAACGCCATAATATCAACATCGCCATAACATAACATCTTAACGACTACTCCCTGATTATAATCATAGTCACTCAATCAACATCTTAAATATTTCATCACAGAGCTGGGTTCCTCATCTCCTCATCTTCTCAACCCAACACAGCAATACGCTTCGGCCCATTGATATCTCGGGTTTACGCTGGATCTTAAATGCCTGATGTTATTGTACTTTTTTTGAGGGCTTCGAGGGGAAGAAGGAGCTATTTGGGTATCATGCATTCGAGGAGGAAGAACGAAGAGAAAGAAATGGAAAAGGAATGGAAAAGGAATGAATATGCAGGCAGGATATGGAGGAGAAAAGGGGAAGGAGGGAAAGAGGAAAGAAAGAAGGTTGGCAGAGTGGCCAATCAATCGGTTAGTCAACTATCAGCAGTGATATTGATTTCCCCTCCTCTCCTATCCTGCCTTGTAGGATAGGATAGGCTCGCTGGTGCTTAGGGTTAGGAGCAGGAAGGAGTGATTAAATTTCTTTCAGAAAAGGTGGAGAGGAATAGTTGAAAATAAGATTAGGAATAGCGAGGAATAGGAAAAAGGATTTAAAGAGAAGGTTGAAATATTTTATCTTTATTTTCTATTAATAATAAAGTCAAGAATCTTTAGATTAAAGAATTATATCTTAAGGATTTATAAGAATAAACTTATATTATAAAAAATACTAAATACTAGTATTCAAATTATTATTCATATATAATTTCAAAAAGCGACTTTATTTCAAAGATTATATATCAATTAATTATACTAGAAAACGATTACTAAATAATTAAATAAAAATATATATTATATATAAAAAGACTTCTAGAAATTTACTTTAAAAAGCAAAAAAGCTAAATCAAAAGTAAAAGATTACTATTTTTAATATATTAAAAAAGAAAATATAATCTTATAAAAAATATCAAATAAGTCTTATTAATAAAGAATTCTAGGAATCTATTAATAATATCGAAATCAATAATAATAATAATAATTAAAACATATTAATTAAAAACTATAACTTCAAGTTAATAAAAAAAATTATAAATAAAACTATCTTCTTTAAATAATATACTAATATTAATATCTTTTTATATATATTTAATTAATCTTTATTTTTCATTTTAGAATAAATATTAATATTTTGAATAATAAAGATTAATAAAAGAGTGATATATTATTATTAATTAAAAATAAGAGATACGAGCTTTAATAATAGTCTCTCGATACTAGAAAAAACAATTCGCCTCGCTATACTCTTTAAATCGTTTTTCTAGAATATCTCAAGACCTATATTATAGCTCGTCCTCCGGAGGTCTATTATAATTTAATAAAATAATTATACACAAAAACTATTTCAAAAAGAAATAAATCTATAATTGAGAAACTATACTCGGCGAGATCTTTGAAAAGGAATATATAAAAATTAAAATCAGTATCGCTAGCTTATAAGGTTTTATATAATTTGATATAGTAAATAATCTAATATACTAAAAGTAATATATAAGATCTTATTTAAATTTATTAAGATTTGATATTATTATACTTGATTCAATTTATAGAATATTGATAAATGTCGATATTTTAAAGATTCTTTTCAAATAATTATATTTTTGTCAAAAACGAATTTTATATTTGTCACGGGTTCACCAAGCATGACTACCTATACCTACCTATACCTACCTGTACTCACCTGCACCTGTTACCTATATACTACCTATTTCTAGTTAGTTCGAATAAATGCCTTAGACATTTATTCATTATATAATTGATATTGCTCCGCACACCTCCTTCTCTCCTTATTAAATATCATATATTTTATCTAGTTCCTATTAATACCTATACCAATCCTGTAATAATATATTCGATCTTTCAAAAGGCCCTGCTATCAATAATAATCCAGCTTTGATTATACTTATTTATATACAACGATTTTAATTTGATAACTTTGGTTCAAATTTCGATTTGTATCACCACAATAGCCAACTTTACAAAATTTATTGGCTATATCCAATAATATTAACTCTGGTATATCTACTATTAATATCAATATATCTGCTCCTAAAACTATAATATATAAAACCTTGATTATATATATTTATCAAATATTCCAAAATCAACCTTATATCATTAATATACGTACTTCTAATACCCTTTTCCAAGATCTAACCCTATTGATTAATCTATTCAATATAGAAGATACTGATTCCGCTGCTTAACGCTTTCTTTGAAACCTGCTTGCTATATTTAAAAATATTACTAAAAAATACTATATTGAATACATAATCCAGTTAACTACTGAAAAACAATTGAATATTGAATATATAGTCTAATTAGCTATTGAAAAATAATTCAATCAGATTTGTAATAATCTCCTTATTCAATAATATCAACTTCAAAAAATATATAACTCTACTATCAAAATCTTTAATCAAAATCCTCTTTCAAATTCTTTTTGTATCTAATCAATAATAAAAAACCCTGAATCTTTCAAAGATAAAAAATCAAACCTATTTGTATAATAAAAAAATATCTTTCTTG